TATTATAATTATTCTTAATTTTTTATATTTAATTTGCAAAGTTTTCTTATAAATCTTATAATTTTTATTTAATTTTGGAGATTCCTAATTTATCTTCTTCCTTATTTAACTTCTTCAACTTCCTATTCTATAAATTATTCAAGTTATCCTTTTCTTTAAGTTTCTATGCTTCCATATATCACTCCAAAAATAAATCAACTATTCATAAAATATTATAAGTATTATCCTTACAATTAATATTTCGATATAATGTCGTTCATTTTATTAATTGTAGAAATATCATTTGAAATTTACCTTTCTACTTCTTTAGAATCTAGAATATCATTATGATCAATAAATCTCTTAATTATTCTTAACAAGCTATTAATAAACAGATATCAGTACATTTAATAATTAATTATTTAATTATTTCTTATTATTATTCAATTAGTTGATGCCATTCCATTTTCTTTTTTTAACTTATATATTGAATAGGATTCTCTTCAATATATTCTACAAATTCTAACCAACCTAATTCTGTTTAACTTTTATTTCCCTAACGATCCTTAAAATATTTTGCCATGCTTCTTGAGATAGCATACTCTTACTGTTTTTAATAATCTTCTGTCACAACAGAGATAACATTTCCCTTATTATATATACATATATTCTGATTTTTTAAATATATCTAGTGCTCAACTCATTAATGTCCGCAAATAGATTTAAAATCCTTATTGTATCCATAAAACAAAAGAAAAAAACAACTAGTCTAACCTATTTAATTAAGACATCAATAGTGTAAAGTGTCATGTTGATTGTTTCAAGAGTTCTAAAGCCATAGTACTTGTATTTTATATAAGGAAATAGAAGAAGTTCAAAACTTAAACTTAAAGAGTTGTTAGGCTTAGTATAAGCATATAATTGCATAAAAATAATAAAGTTTATAAAATTAGGAAAAGGAAAGGCAAAAGTATTGAAAAAAGAAAGGAGATGAATTATGAATTACCAATTGGATTGTTGAAATCTGTAGAGCAGCTAGGAGGAACACATTTTTCATTGAATGCTATAGGAGCTTATCTTGGTTTATCATAAAATTAGGTTTATTATCTTCGCAATTAGAGAAATTTTTAAATTGTTAAATGCTAAATAAGCATACTTCAATGAATAAAATCATGAGATACTCGAAAGAAAATTACGATTTTATGTATTTAGATGAGGTTTCTTTAGGCCATTAGACTAGGTAATTGATATGGTAATAGAGAGTATCAACTTATCAGAAGAGGACAAACAATATAGTAATTATAGGAACAATAGGAACATATAATTTTTTAAGCCATCAAGCAATAATTGGGTATGTGACAAGTAAGATTAATTGTCATCATTTTATATAACTAATTAGGCTTGTAAAAAGTCATTATAACGAAAGAAATGTTGTGTTTGTTCTTGACAACGGCTCTATTCATAAATAAAAAGTGGTTTAAAAATTATTAACTGAAATTCCACATCTTTTTTTATCACCATATTCCCCTAAACTCAACCCTATAGAAAAATTGTGGAATACATTTTAATAATTCATAAGAAAAATCACCAAGTGCTTATTCAAAATTTTCATAAAATGATTCATTATCATCTCAATTCAATTACTAATGAATCATCTCAATTCAATTACTAATGAAAAATTAAAGAATTATTCATGGTCTTTGCTAAAAGAATTGAAGAAATCAATTCTTTCTTTAGATTATAATTATATAAGCGTAAATTAATGATGAATAATTTCATTCATACTTTCTTTGCAATCTGCTCTACCGTAATATTATTCAAATAAAATTAGATCCTTAATTCGTCCAGAAAATTTGACAAAAATAATACTAGATTATAACTGGCCTGTTTATGTTGCTCCAGAAGTGTTGAACCATTAATATGATGAAAAAATGTGATTTATAGTCCTGCAAAATCATATTCTATGTGTTATTATGCAGAAATACACCATTTACTGGGAGGATTGATCATTAAGTATTAAAGTTTACATAGAGTGTCTTTATTTTGAAAGTATTATTTTAACTAAATTTATATCATAAGAATTCGTGAATTTGGAGAATAAATCTAGAGTGGCAAAATAATTTTTATGAAAATTCATAAGTGTTGATCTAAAAAAGAGATTATCTAATGTTTTGACATCCCATAAACGGATAGACTAATCAGCACTACCAGAAGCTAATCTATTTCCATCAGGAGAGAAACAGACTGAGTAGACAGTTCCACTATGACCATCTAATTAGGCTTTTTATTATCCTGTTTTGACCTCCCATAGACAGATGGATTATCAATGCTATAAGCAGGATTTCATAACAAGTTGCTACTGTAATATCATCAGGAGAGAAGCAGAATGAGTTCAAATTATCATTTATAACATCTAATTTATTCAATTCATGGATCGTAATATTCTTCTATTTACAATCCAATAATTTTGCTCAATTCAAATTCATCCCACTTATGTTTACATTATTAAATTTGGATTTACTAAAATTATATCTAACAAAATGAGTTTCTACTAAAGAAGTATTTTCAATCTTAATATTTTCAAATTATTGTTTCTAAGGTCTAATTCATCTAAACTAATATATGTAATGAATTAGAACCACATTATATTAAAGTATTTCCAATAAATGTAAGGTGAACTAAACATTACAAAAATTCTATTATCTATTGATTATTCTAGATGCTATTAATTAGAATAAATGTAAGTTACTAATTTTGATTATTTTTTTTCTTTAGGAAAATAATCATTGGAATTCTTATCAATATTTTTCTTCATTTTGTTCCCTTTTGCTTTGAATCATTCAAATATTTCTTGATATTTTGAAGGGAACTCTAATATATCGCTTGTTTTGATGAAAAATTAACATCCTCTTGCATATAATGAATTTAAGTTAATAAGGATAGATATTGATAATAATAACTCATTGGTTCTTCCAAAATTTATAATAACTAAATGTGCTAATTTACTTGTAAATCTTAAATGTAGATAGATTCATAATATTTCAATTTGCAGAAGGTGATTTGATATAAGTCTGGATTTTTATTCTCTTTAAAATCATCTTGAAGGTAACAGTGATTATATCGAAATCTCTATCAAGCTAAATTGATAACATTTTATGATATTGAAATAAATAATCCCTGCTCTAAACTGATTGTATATTTTAATAATATTAAAAAAAATGTGGTGAAAATAGACTGAAATCGAGAAAAGCATTAAACATTAGAACTAACCTATTTTTTGAAGTGAAGATAAAGAGTTATATTTATCAAGACTAATTATAAAAAATATTAGATATAGATTGTAATTATAATTGTAATATTGATAATGAATAATCATGTTCACATTTTCTTATAGTCTTCTAAAAAGCAGTATCCTTTTGATTTTAATAAATATCTTAAATTGTATCCTTTATAATTTACAAATTCTCCTTTCAAAATCAAAGCTCCTTATGCTTAAAATAATGGTGTTTAAGAGATTCTTTGAATTGTAATATTGTTGGATTCTAAAAGATAATAATTTAATAAATACCTGGTAGAAGTTTGTTCTAAAAAAGTGGTATCTTAAACTAGGTAGGAATATCTTTATATTTGTTGTCATCGGATTAAATTTCTATTCCATTCTTTACATCCCATAGACGGTTGAGTTATCACTACTACCAGATGCTAATTTATTTCAATCAGGTAAGAAACAAACTGAATTGACATTATTAGTATGACTATCTAATTTGGCTTTTTATTATCCTGTTTTGACATCGCATAGACGGATAGAGTTATCACCACTACCAGAAGCTAATGTATTTCCATCAGGTGAGAAACAGACTGACATAATTTCTCTAGTATGACCATCTAATTTGGCTTTTTATTATCCTGTTTTGACATCCCATAGACGGATAGAGTAATCATCACTACCAGAAGCTAATGTATTTCCATCAGGAGAAAAACAGACTGAGTAGACAGTTCCACGATGACCATCTAATTTGGCTCTTTTCTTTCTTGTTTTAATATCCCATAATATAACAGTCCCATTACCATCTACAGAAGCTAATGTATTTCCATTAGGAGAGAAACCGACTGACCAAACACTTCCTCTATGTATTTATAATTTGGCTTTTTATTATCCTGTTTTGACATCCCAAAGACGAATTGATTTATCAGCACTACCAGAAGCTAATGTATTTCCGTCAGGAGAGAAACAAACTGTCTTCACACAATCACAATAACCATGCAATTTTTATACTTCACAGATTCGTAAGTCTCTCCATTTACAATTAAATAATAACGCCCCATTCAGATTTGTTCCACTTATATTGACATTTTTAAATTAAGATTCACTAAAATTACACCTAACTAAATTAGCTCCTAATAGGGATGTATTTTAGATCGTAATTTTTTCAAAATTTTAATTTCTAAGGTCAACCTTCATCTTAATTAATATATGTAATGAATTAGATCCGCATTATATCAAAGTGTTATCTATAGATGTGAGGTGAACTAAAAATTAGAGAAATTCAATCATCCTTTTATTATCCTTTATGCTTTTAATTAGATTTAATTTTGATTCTTCATTTTCTTCAGAGGAAAAGTCTTTATAATTAAAATCATGATCTTTTAATTTTCTTAAAACATCTCTTATTTACTTCATGTCATTTCTAAAATTAGACAATATCTATTCTGTATCAGTTTGTGTGAAATTCCCTACTTGTTGTAAAATTTGTGATTCTTATTGTCTCTGATTCCCGATGTCTGATAGATATTAAATGCAGTCTTAAACTTTTTCCTTTCCGAATATTTCTAATAGAACCCCAAAGATTTGTATATCTACATCTTTTGCTTTATCAAAGATGTCAGCTATAGCTTCCTTCACTTAAAAAGAGCCTTGCATTTTCTTTTTTATTTTTAATATGGAATTTCTATTACTTAAACTTTAAGTTATATTCTGCAAAATCGATAAAAGTATCTTTTGTATTTCTGGAAAATAGAAGTTAGGACTTTGTGTAGATTTGGAATTGATAGTAATAGATTTAAATGATGCCATTGAGAATTCGTTTCAACATCTGCATTACTTGATTTTTTAATAGGATATCTTTATTTTTATATGAATATTGTAATTTATACATTTTTTTAGTTCATTAATTGATATATTCATTCCTCTTTTTTATCATCTTTGCATGATTAATGGTTTGATTTTCTTTCTTTTTTATATTAAGTTAGTTTTATAGATTTCTTATTCAATTGATCTAATATTGGAGGGGGTTAATTCAATAATAGAGATGAATAATTAAATCATTTAAACATTATTCATTTTGGATATCTATAACAATACAAATAATTATTTCCTTTTTATTTTTTTTTCTTCTTCAATATGCTTAAATAGTCTTGCTTTTGAATTATTTAATATATAATTTCTTAAAAAATTAATTTAAATGTAAAATTTAACTGATTGATGTATTATGAAGTAATGAGGTATATTTTTTGTTGTCTAGATATTAATTAATTTCGTTAAATCATCTTGAAGGGAAATG